TGTCTGTATGTGCGCGTGTGTGCGCGTGTGTGTGTGTGTGTGTGTATATGTGTGCGTATGTGCGCGTACGCGCGCGCGCGCGCGCGCGCGCGCGCGTGTGTGTGTGTGTGTGTGTGTGTGTGTGTGTGTGTGGGTATTGTGCTTCTCCCAAAAAGTGCTTAGACTTGGGGTTGTTACTCTGGCTTCTCACGGAAACCGGATGATTTCGCCGGGTTTCGCCGTTTGGCCGCCCGCGTCGCCTCGTGGGGCGCCTCGTGGGAGCCCCGCCTTCTGGGTGGGCTTCTCGAGGATTCGCTGCGTTGCCGCCCGTGGGGCTTTTTGGGCGCCTCGCGGACGCTCCGTGCGCTGGGTGGGCTTCCCGAGGATTCGCCACGTTGCCGCCCGTGTCGCTTGGTCGGCGCTCGTGGGCGCTTCGTGCGCGGAGCTTGTATCACGCAGCTTGCACTACATGATTTACACCACGTAGCTTGCACCAAATAGCTTGCACCACGTAGTTTGCAACATATAGCTTGCATCACAAATTTTGCACCACGTAGCCTGCACCGTACAGCTTACACGACAGAGTTTACCCAACATAGCTTACACTGCATCGATTCCACCTGTAGTTCACACCGCATGTCACCCAAAACACCATGGCTTTCACGAGCGACATAGCTTACATTGCATTGCTTTCACCTGCGCATTACAGTAACTCATTTTTTGGATCCACGCTGGCTAGCTTTGCGAGTAAAGGTTGAACACTATCCAGGTTATAACATCCTACGGCACTGCCATCTCTGGCGGTTGCAAGTTTCGAAAGATAGCGACGGCTGCGAGGACACGAGCGCAGAGGGGGCAACGACCGACGAGGGGGAAAGGGCACCTAGGCAGTCTACGCCCCACGGCTGAACGCTGCCATCGCCCAGAATCGGCCGACACCGAGCGATCAGCGCTGTCGGGAGGCCGCGATCGCTCGAGGCTGAACGACCCACGCGGTGTCGGAAGCCAACGCTGACGTCGGCACGACGCGCGAGTGCCGTTCGTGGTCTCCCGTGGATGCGTTGCGCGCGGGGGCATCCTCGCAGACCCGCCTCCGGGGGGGACGTGCGGGGCTGTGCCCTCGGGGTGGCTGGCAGACCGCGGGCGGACGGCCGACAACTTCGCTGGCCTGCCCCGCGGCGGGGGCGCGCCCTGACTTTTCGTTGGCTTTCAGCCCGCGGCGGGGGCGCCGGATGAGGATCGCCTCCCTTCGGGCCAGCTCCTCCCTCCTCCCTCCTCCCGCCTCCTCCCTCCGTCCCTCCCTCCCTCCCTCTCCTCCTCCTCCTCCTCCTCCTCGTCCATCCCTTAATATCTAGATCTTCCCTGTCGCACTTCCAGACGTGTCGAGCTTGAAGCTTGAAGATTGCAACAGCTACACGGGGGAGGGGTGGTGATTTTGAAAGGGGGCTTCCGCCTGAGCGCCGCGCGCGTTCTTTTCGACATACTGCAACAGTCACATGGATGGGGGACAATCCTGCTTACAAATGGGATCGCGCCTTCGCACCGCGCGCATGAGTCTTAACAGTTTGCCTCAGTTACAGGGATGGGGCACGTGTCGTTGTCAAACTGGGACTATTGCCTTAGCGCCGCGCACGTTCATGTTAGTATGTTGTAGCAGCTGCATCAGTGGAGGGTGGTCCTTTTCAAAGAGGGCTCTCGCCTCAGCGCCGCGCACATTCGTCTTACATCATTGAACAGTTACAGGGATGGAGGGCGGTTCTTTTTGAACGTTGGGTTTTCGCTTGGGGCTTTCTGACGGCTTGAGCAGATGTTACAGCTGCACGTGTGGAGGGAGGTTCCTTTTCAAAATATGCACTTCTCTTGAGAGCTCCTCGAATAGCATGACCAAGACGAACAACAGCAGTCACACAGATAGGGGGCGGCCTTTTTTCAAAACCGGGATCTCGCAGGACACCTCGTCGAACTTTGCTTGGTTATTGCGAAGTCCTTACGGCCGGTGCCGCCGACCCTGAAGACAGCGATCTGTCAGTGAGGGGAAACAACCAGGGGCTGGTGGTGGCGGTGTAGGCAAGACCAGACCCAGGTCTCCAAGGTCTTTCTGGGTCTCTACCTCTGCGAGCCTCTGTCTCGTGGCTCATGTTTGGACCATTCGTCGGGTGAAGACGGGCCAGGTGAACCTCTGGAGCGCCTAAGATGCGGCAAAGAAGGCGTCTCTTGGGGCATCCGTTGGGCCTCTTGGGGGCCTCTTGGGGCCTCTTGGGGCATCTGTGGGGCCTCTTCGGGGCCTCTTGGGGCCTCTTGGGGGCCTCTTCGGGGTCTCCTGGGGCCTCTTGGGGGCCTCTTGGGGCCTCCAGGGAGCTTCTTGGGGCGGAAGGCTCGGATTTTTGGTTCGGGCTCCCCGTCTTGGGCTCCTCTTGGGGCCCTCGTGGGCCGTCTTGGTAGCCTCTGGGGCGGTCTTGGCGCCTTCTTGGGCCGTGTTGGTGCCTTATCGGGGGCTTCTTGGACTGTCTTCAACGCTGTGAAGGCCGAAAAATCGTATAGGCCCAAAGTGTACGTTTTCCGATGGAAAGTCAATGATTTGGGCCTCTCGGGAACGTCCTTGGGAGGCTCTTGGGCTACCTGGAGCTATCTCGGAAGCGTTCTTGGGAGCCTCCGTGGCTACTTGGAGACGTCTTGGCACGATCTTCGAGCCTCCACTAGGCTTCTTGGGAGCGATCTGGAGCCATCGAGGGCCACATGAGCGATCTTGGAGGTCATCTTCAGGGGGGGGGGCTGCGTATCTGACCCGGGACTTCCCCGGGTGCTCCCCCGGTCCTCCCCCGGGTCCTTCCCCGGGACCCCCACCCCCCCGGCGCCGGGGAAGGGATCAAAGGGAAGGGGCTTCCCTTCGACTCAATGACGACGTTGCTCAATTTCGGTTTGGACCGAAACGCTTGAGGAGGAGGAGGCCCTGGAAAAGGAGAAGACGCTGTGGGAAAAGGGAAAGGACGAGGACGACAACGAAGAGGAGGCAGACGGAGAAGCCTCTTCCACACGCCGACAGTGTCGGCGGATGACGGGAAGCGCGTACTAGGAACGAGGAGCGTGGACCGTTTTTTCAAAGAAATCTTTATATGGGGCTCCAGATCGCATTCAGGACAGGCGTTGGCGGATGACGGGAAGCGCGAACGAGGAACGAGGAGCGTAGACCGTTTTTCTTAAGGACAAACCTTTATATGGGGCTCGGGGCTGCATCTCGGACGGGCGTTGGCGGATTCATACATTGGCCGTTTCGCTCGGGACATCCTAGAAGGCCACAGGACGGCTCCAGAGGGCCCGCATGACGGCCCCAGAGGCTTCCGAGAGCACTCCCAAGAGGGCCCAAGAGGTCAAAATCGTCAAATTCTTATAGGAAAACGTATATTTGTAGTATGTACGATTTTCTCGTCTTCACGGCGTCGAAGACGGTCCAAGAGTCCCCCCAGACCGACCCGCGACGGCCCAATAGACTCAAGAGGCGCCCAAGACGGCCGAAGAAGGCGCAGACGGCCCAAGAGGCTCCCAAGAAGGCCCACGAGGGCCCCAAGAAGGGCCCAAGAGGGAGAGCCCGAATCGAAAATCAGAGCATCCCGCCCAAAGACGGCCTTAGGAGGCCCCAGGAGGCGCCCAAGAGGTCCCAAGAGGCCCGAGAGGCCCCCAAGACGCACCAAAAGGCCCCCAAGAGGCCCAAAAGAGGCCCCAAGAGGACCCAAAACGGCCCGCGAGAAGCCTCCCAAGAGAGCCCAACGAACTTTCACTTCGTCTCATTCTCAATACCCCAGCACGGTGGCGGGATGGACCGAAGGTCACTAGATATTCCATTTCCTTATCCCGAATTCGGGTTACACAGCCCCAAGACAGCTCAAGAGGGCCCGAAAACGGCGCCAGAGGGATCCAAGAGGGTTTCATGTTACAGGCCTCTTGGACCGTCTTGGGGTTATCTCCGGTCGTATTCAAAATATAATGGGCCGGAGCATCTTGGAGTGGCCAGAGACGGCCGGAGGCATCCTGGGCATTCCTGGGAGGGGTGAGGGATCTAGTCCGTTTTACCAGATCCCCCCAGCCGGACCGAATCCCAAGGGGACGGCGGATAGCTCGGGATCTTGAAGGTGGATGCGGGGGCCGCGTGGTAACTGACCGCTTGCGCACAATACAAGTAATAGCGGTTCCAGGGCGTGAATCTGGCTGCACTTCTGTGGGTCCTGGTCGCCGAGGCATGGACCCAGAGTACTTTGCAATGGGTCGTGGCCTCGGAGGCGCGTATCGCGTGTACTTTACGAGGGATCTGCGCCTCGGGAGCGCGAGCGTCGTATATTTTACGAGGGATCCTTGATTCGGGCACCGCGCAGTCCCCTCCTGTTCGCACAAGCGTTCCAGTTTTGACGTCCCCATGTGATGCCATACCTGCAACGAACGTTCGAACATTCGCTTCCCGTTCTTGTCAGGTCAGGTTTCAAAAACGCCCGTTTCGCTCGAGACATCCTCAACAACTCTGCCCCGGAGGGGACTCCCAACCTAAATCTCGCTGGAAGCGGTCCCCGCTAAGATTTAGAAAATGCCCGTTTCGCTCGAGACATCCTCAAACATCTGCCGCGGATTGGACTTCCAACCTACATCTCGCTGGAAGCGGTCCCAGAGGGTTACAAAACGCCTGCAGCGCTCCGTAAGGCACCCACCAGAGGACTCCCACATCGCTCGTTACGCTAGAGACATGCTTCAAAAATCGGCCCCAGAGGGTTCCCCAACCTACTTTTTGCTGGAATCCGTCCCAGAGGGATACAAAACGCTTGCAGCGAACCCCAAGATACCACCCAGAGGACTCCCAGAGCGTCTCCAGAGCTTTCCAAGAGGCCCCCATAGGCGCCAGGAGGCCCCGGGACTACGACAGCGACCCGCAGCAGCAACGGGAGCAGCGCCACGACCACTACACAGACCAGCTGAAGCACGACCACGGCTGCGACCAGTACCAACAGGATGGCCACGGCTGCCACCAGCCGCAGCACCAGCACTACAACAGCAACATCGACTAAGGCCAACGGCGCGATCACGACTGCGACCAGCATCACCACGACCACGACCACGACTGCATCCACGACAGCTTCCAGCAGCAGCACGAGCAACCCAGCACGACCACTACAGCGATCAGCGGCAGCAGCACGACTACGACTGTGACCAGCAGCAGCACAACGACCACGACTGCGACAAACAGCACCAACAACGCCACCGCAGCGACCACTTCCGCGACCAACCCAGAGGACTTCCACACCGCCCGTGTCGCTATAGACATCCTCAAAAATTCGGATCCCGAGGGGGCTCCCAACCTACATTTTGATGGAATCGGTCCCAGGAGGTTGCAAAACGCCTGCAGCCTCTCCCACAGGCCCCTCAGGAGGCGCCAGGAGGCACCACTCGAACAGACCCCGACAGGCGTCCAGAAGCCCCTAAGAGGTCCTTCCCTGAGGACCTTCCCAAGCATCACCCGGATCCTCTCTGCGAGGCATCCACGGCTCACCTTTCGCCTCAAGCTCTTCCGATGCGTCCGAACTGCCTGAGCGACCTTCAGCAAAAGCTCCGAGACAGTCTTCGCCCGTCACATGGCCATCAAAAACCATCGAGTTTTTGCTAACCGCGCAACGCCAGGCAGCGATTAGCAAAAACCCGATGCTTTTGGGATAGACTTCACGAGGAAATTAGGCTGCATATCCACTCCCAGTTTCTAAAACGGAACCACCGATGCCTCACGTCGAGGCCTTCTAGGCCCATGTTCCCAAAACGGCAGCACCGATGCCCCAGAGGACTCCCACCGCGTCTCAACAGCTCTCCCAGAGGCCCCCAGGAGGCGCCACGAGGAACCCATCACCGCCCGAAGAGGCTCCCATCATTCCCCCGAGAACTCCAACCGCCCAAAGAAGCGCATCGCTCATTACCTGGGAGACGTTCCCCACCCGGAGTGAGAGATCAGCGGGAATCGCCGCTCCCTTAGACACCATTTTCTAGCTCGGTGGCCGTATCGGGCTCCTCTTCGAGCATTTCTACTGTGCTGTCGGCCACCTTCGCGCCTCCTCGGCGCCATTTCGAACATGCCAAACACATGTCGTTCTGAGACCCCTCGCAGGCATTGACCGGACGACCGGACAACTTGCCTGCGCCCCCTCCAAACCACCGCGAGCCCTTTAGGTGACAACAGTCAGATA